AATTTACTTCTAGACCTTAGCCATAGATCCCCACACGCCTATATGCGCACACATGCACAAACACACACACTGACATGTGGCCACATTCCTCATTATTTACCATCATTGGAAGTAAATTAAGAGTGCTCCAGCTTTGTTTATTTTACAATACTATTTGCATGGAATTTTCAGAGACTCCTTATATGACTGTAATAATACCCGTTAACCAAACCTGTTGCCCTCAAGTAGATTCTGACTCATAGCGACCCTATAAGATAAAGTAGAACTGCTCCATAGAGTTTCCAAGGAGTAGCTGGTGGATTCGAACTGCCGATCTTTTGGTTAGCAGCTGTAGCTCGTCGTTGCTCTTAACCACTGTGCCACCAGGGCGCCTAACTATAATAATAGCTCTTATTAATTTTTATTTTTAATAACTCTGGGACATAATATAGTCACATTGATACTTTAAATTGGCATATAGGATTCATTTAATAGTCCCCTATTAAATCAGAATTGATCTTGTTAAAAAATTAAAATAGTTGCAAGGATTAAGAGTTTGAAGAAAAAGCCTGGAGGAAAACAGAGAACTCTTTTTGTGAATTTTGTTCTCTTCCAATGCACATACTCCATGCACTGAGCACACTGTCCTCGGGACATTAGTTTCTGTTTTCTCCAGCTGCATGTGAGCAGAATTGACCGAGTGCCCTTGGTATTCAGTGAAACTTTCTGGTCTTAGTGTCCCCATTTGATGTTTCTGGTCCCTTTCTGCTTTGTCATTCCAGCGTTCTGTGAGATTGCAGCATCTCTGGTTGTAGTAACTGTAGGATCCCACTTTGGCCCTAAGACTTAAAGAAGTTAACTTGTGAGGTTCAGGAGACACTGCTTTTTACTTCTTTTAATAACTGCTGGTAATGTTTTGCTGAGGATCTCAGGTATTTGTCCATTTTTGCAAAGTCAAGTTCCCATAAAGCCTCTGGTGTAACCTGCCTAGAAAGCCCTTCTCCAGATGTCCATCCACACTGCCATCAAGCCACTGCCCAAATGTCATCTTATCTGATGGCTTTCCCAGACTACTCTTTCTAAAACAGCACTGCCCACATCTCAAACTGTCCGCGTCCCCTAAGTTTGTTTTATTCATTTAAATAGCATTTGTCCCTCCATAAGGAGCCCTGGTGGTGCAGTGGTTAAGTGCTTGGCTGCTAATGGAAAAGTCAGCAGTTTGAACCTACCAGCCGCTCCACAGGAGAAAGATGTGGCAGTCTGCTTTCATAAAGATTACAGCCTTGGAAACCCTATGGGGCATTTCTACTCTGTCCTATAGGGTCTCTGTGAGTTGGAATCAACTCAATGGCAGTGGGTTTGGGTTTGGGGTGTCCCTCCATGACACATTTTTTTTGTTTTTTGATCATCTGCCTCCACTTGCATATAAACCCTTTGAAAGCAGAGACTATCTGTTTGTTCACTGTTCTATTGCGTATAGTAAGTACTCAGGAAGTATTTGCAGAGTACACATTGAGGTTTCTCTGATTTTTTAGTCTTTATTATGATGGAGTTTGAAAATAATTTTTATTCTTCACTTTTTTTTCCATTTATTAATTGCCTTAATTTATCGACTTTTCAAATCTTTGGTTTAACCCATTTTTCAGGCCTTTTCAGCTTTTCTGGAAAAAAAAAAAAAAATCAAACATTCAGAGAATTTAGTTCTTTGTGGGTTTCCTGCCTTGTTACAGTAAAAACGCCCCAGTTTCTGCCAGGAAAGTTAGGGTTAAATCTTGCATACTGCAAACCTGAAGTCATGCAAAACTTTATAAAAAAAATACATATTGTAGCAAGCTATATGGAGAGGTGCTTGTATCACATCATGAAACAGTCACAACATACTCTTCAGACTCATCTTTCTATTTTGCACTTGACATAATTCTTTGACGTTAACTGAGTAACAAAGTTTTCCTGTAATTCAACTCTGCAAAGCAGGCGTGATTAAATAAGTGATGGGGTTGGGGCTGGTATCTGTGGTTCATGGCGAACATATTTTGTCTCTTCACTGCTCTACTCCTGGTTTCTCAGATTCTGAATGTATTTTGGACATTGGACTTTGATTTCTAATCAGAAATGTCAAAGCTAAACCAAAATGAATTAGGAAATACAGTGTATTTCTTTTAGGCAGCTTGAGTAAGTTGAGTATATGTACATTTTTCCAGAAATAGCACTAATGGCTAAAAATCAATAAATGTACTGTTCCCCCTGAATACTTGACCATTTAAATTAGGAATGTGGACTTGCTCATAATACTATCTTATGAATACTGGGTAAAATTAGCATACGAAGGAGGACAGGACATGCATGCACACACACGTTCTATTGGATATCAAGTCTGAGTGCCTTTAATGTATGAATTTTGACTAGTCTAATCCCTCTAAATCCTTTTGAATTTAATCTGTGATTTTTTTTTTTTTTTTTCAGTTTCTGGTAAGAAACCAGAATTGAAAGACAAGGAAAACAAATAATACTTCCCTATTAGCACTTTTCTTCACAACATTGAAGGTGGCTGGCAGGAGAAAAGAATTGTTCCTACTCAGTTTGATTGTTTCAATTCAGTTTCAATTATCTGTTGCAGACAGGACTTACGGATTTCTTCTAACTACAGAGACATTTTCACACTGGTTTGAAAATTTCCATGTGTTGGCAATGTCTGGAATACCAAACTTTGTAAAATTAATCCTTGACTGTCAAATAGAACAATGAGATTGTTGTGGAATTGTTGCTGTTGATAGTTGCTGTCCAGTCCATTCTGGCTCATGGCGACCCCATGTGTGCAGAGTAGCACTGCTCCATGGGGTTTTCAAGGCTGGGATCTTTTGGAAGGAGCCCAAAAATTTGAATCATTTCCATTTGAACAAACAAATCAAGATTCAAATTTTTAGGATTTTCAATTCTATTATTATTTACCTCGATTGCTATAAGTGATAATGCCCAAGTAACTGACGCTTTCAATCCCATGATTATTTCCTAGAGTTCTCAATTCATTTACCAACCACTAGGTATTGATTCTCTGATCCAGAAGAACAGCTAGTGTTAGCAGGATGACAGGATGACCTTCTACTGTAAAAAGTGGTGAACTGTTATCCTGAAAAAACAATTGATGCTAATAAAGATTTTTTTGTTCCAAGCTGTATGTTGTGCCTTAGAAAAGATTACAGATTTGAATGTGTTTTGAAAAATAAGTCATGCAAATATAAAGTATAGAACAGCCCCGAATTATTAATGCATTATACTTCACATGTCCATGTGCAAATCTGGTTTTTGAAACTTAACATTCATTTTCCATTATAATCAGTGCTATTCTTCTCTGTATTCTCAGAACCTGGAACATACTAGTGTTCAAGAAATGCCTGCTGGATTGAAGAGGTGATGGTTTAGTATAAAGCCTGAACATTTAGGCATAATTTTTCTGATCTGTGTGCCAGTTCCATTTGTTCCATACATGTAATTGTTCATATATTGACAATGAGCTATAGTCTATGTTAAATTCACCAGTTTGGGTAGGGGAAAGAAGACTGTAATAGGAGTTAGGAGGCTTCAACAAGTTCTAGCTCTACTACCTTTTGCTAGTGAGTACACCTGGACAAGTGAGATAATTTCTTGGTGTTTTGATGTCATTTTCCTGCTTGGAAGTCTGGATATTAGAAATGCATCCATCCAAGGAGCAAAAGTGGACAATCACATCACTGTCATCCCTCCTTCCTCAGTGAGAGGCCCCATGGTATCCTGTGACCCAAAGGAGGTACAGGCATTGGTGACAGAGAGGGAAAGGTTAACAGGGAAGAGGTGGGGGCTCCTATGGCAGTGATTTATAAGTGTGGAACATTTAGTTCTTGACTCAGAAGATGTTGGTATTATTGCTATACAATAAATAAATAAATGAATAAGCTATGCCACGAAAACTTTGAAAAATAACCTCTGGAAAACAAAACTTAAAACTAGTAGTTAATTTGTGTGTGTGTCATTCGAAATAGAATTTACATATGTTATATAAGAGGAGAGATTATTTGACTTTATGTTTAGAGAGACAAAAAATAAATACTTAGGAAACTCAAGTAAGGAATCAACCACAACTGTTGATTCAGTGGCCATATATAAAAAGGGAAGAAGTAGAACATGCTATAAGCTAAATACTGGCTTTGGTAGACTTTATCACATTTTATCCTCACAACAATCCTTTAAGACAGAAAGTACTGTTCTTACTTCACAGATGAAGACATTGAGACTCAGAGAGGTTTTATAACTTGCCTAAGGTCACACAGTTTTGGTAGCAGAGCTGGGTTTCAAACTCCAGTCATTTCTAAATTTCATACTTTTTCCTGCTCCACTCTGCTGCCTCTCACTGGAACTTGATGATGATGATGATACCATTTATTAGGCATTTCTTTATTACGTGCCACGTACTGAGTTAAGAGCATTACATGTATTATCCTTTTACATTCTCACAACAAAACTATGAGGAAGAGGTGATTTTCACTTTATAAATAAAGAAACCGAGACTCAGAGAACTTAAGTGACTTTACTCCAGTCACAGGCTTGGTAAGTGGAAGCCAGTGTTCACTTTTAAGTCCAGCTCCTTGGCTCCTACCATCCATGATGCTGTTCCCAGTGTGGCTAGAGAACCTGAGGCCTTGGCTGCCATGCAGTTGATCTGCTCCTTTCTTGGACGTGAGTCAGGAAAAGGACAGAGCCCACACTGGCTTTGGCTGTGCCACGGCAGATACAGCAATTTTGGGTAGGTTATACCTGTTTGAAGCCCTAGTGGTGCAGTGGTTAAGAGCTTGGCTATCAATCAAAAGGTCAGCAGTTTGAATCCACCAGTCACTCCTTGGAAACCCTATGGGGCAGTTCTACTCTGTCCTGTAGGGTCGCTATGAGTCAGAATCGACTTGACAGCAACAGGTTTTTTGGATATACCTGTTTACCAAGTGGCTTAGTTCAGAAGTCAGTAAAATGTTCTTTATGATTTTCTTTTATAGATATTCACCTTGATTGCTGGAAGTGATAATGCCCAAGTGAATGCTGTCAACCATAAGGGGTTGGAATTGACGAAGAATATTACTAAAAAGGATGCTGGATGCAGGAAAGGCCTGTATCTTGCATCCCCAAATCATGAGCAGCACCTATGCTGTCAGCCATGTCCTGCTGGTATGTTTCTCAAAATGTCCAGAGTTTAGAATGAAAATCAGGGCGAGGAGTAGAATATAGTAATAATAAATAAAATATTTTCAGAGCTTTTGGTTCCCCTGCATTATAACATTACAGAAGGGAAAAAAATCTATGAGATTATTTTCCTAAGACCAGTTTAATTCATCTTTATCACACTTGGTTGATGTGGTATGAATAAATATAATTTACAAATGACATATACCTCTGAAATGAGAGGATTTGTCTATTTAGCTCCATTTTTTAGGAGTAAAGGAACACTCATTTGTGAGCGTTGAGTTTTTACATCAGAACTGATGATCACAATAATTGTGACACTCTGAAAGCAAGGGATTTCCACCCTTCAGAGATGTGTCTCAGCACTTCCCTACTGTCAAAAGTTCTCTAAGAAAGCTGTTTGTCCTTGCACTGAAGCTTGCAAAATACATTTGAATTTTGCAGTTGAATAGCTAGATGAGTTAGAAAAGCAACGGACAAAAACCAACATTTTCAAAAATCTGTTAATTTGAAATGCAAAAACAGTTTCACATTGGAAATCCTTCAGACACTAGCAAGGTAGAAGCTAAGAAAAAGGCAGTGGTGCAAACTTTTTCTCAACTTGGAGTAGAGTTGGCATTATTTCATACAGATATAGATCTCTCTCAACAGCATGGTAAAGAAAGACAGGAAGATAAAGGAGGGCAACACATGGGTTGATAGAACCAGAGAGGACGTGGGAGGTCTTATGGTTGACCTCCCAGTCTTCTAGCACTCGGACTGCAAACTTGAGTGGGCCCTGTTTACAAAAAGACTTAGCAGTCTCCTTGGCCTCCTGTCCGTATTTTAATAACCCTTATGGAAAACCTCTGTTATAAACTGGCCCATTTATACTTAAGACAATTTACATTTATCCTTTACAAAAGGGGAATAAAGAATGATTTCCTAGCTTTTTTATAATGTGATGAACACGAGCAATTTGTCCCATGGATTGAAATCTTTATTCAATTTTTATTTTGCAATCAATTTTTAGAAAATAAGATGCAAATTAAAAACAAAGTAATATGTTTTACATAGTAAACTGTCAAGGATTTTTGTTTGTTTACTTTTTTTTGTTTTGCTTTGTTTTATTTTTGTCTAAGAAGTGACCTCGGCCCTAGTGAGTTTGCTTTTCAGATGAGAACTCTCATATACCACTGTTGGAGTGTAAATTGTTAAAATCTTTTAAAAAAATTTGGACATATGGGTCAAAAAATTGAAAATGTTCCTATTCTTGGACACAGTAGGTTAACCCACTTCTAGGAAAATGTTTTAAGAAAATAATCAAAAATATAGGCAAATATTATATGCACAGCATTTCATTATGGTACCTAAAAATGTGGGATCTGTTAAGTAAATTATGTAATATCCAAAGGCTTGAATATTATGTATCAAAGTCATGTTTTGTGATATATTTCTGGTATAATCCTTTAAGTGGTTTCCATTCGATCGGCCTGCCGGATAACTGACTCTCTCCACCTCCTCTCTAAACAATCCTGAATGGTGTTCAACACATGATGAACACGCATCCCACTTCTATTCCATCTTGTTGAGGTTTAGGTTTATCAGTATTCGAGTTGCATCCAGATCTGTCTATGCTTATTGACTTTGTTACATTAGTATATAGTTTAATTAAATCAATGATTTACTAATGCAGGGAAAAAGGACAGATTTTGTTACTTTGAAAGCTAGGCTGAATGCTTTGGAGAATTTCAGTAAAGGTGAGTTGCTAACTTATTGTTGATAAACTGGGTGAGGGCAAATAACTATAAAATACCAAGTAAATTTTTAAAAATCCAGAAAAATTTTCATACAGATTATTGGTATGTTAACTTCTTTTTTCATAAAAAAAAAAAGAAAGAAAGAAAAGGGGAATTCTGGGAACATGGTGCAGTAGACAGAAGCACGACACCGTCCCTCCACAGCAAAAACCTGAAAAACTAAAAACAGAGACAAATGTCAATCTTGGAACCCTAAGCATTAAATGAAGAGATAAAGAACTCAACCAAGCACAGAATGGTACAAGAAACTGACAGAGAACAGACAGCAAGAAGAGTTACGAGCGGAGGTCCCCTATCAGCTAATGCAGCATGGATTGACCATCTTGGATCATGATGGAGATCAGTGGATAGGGAGAAGGGGAAAGCAGGTTCACGGAGCTCCCAGCAGGAGACAGAGCACCTGGTAACCAGAAAGACATGCTTTCCCACCCCACAACCTGCCTCCCCCTGCTCAACCTTCGCTGCTTCCCAGCTAGCTGGTCCACTACTTCCCAGCAGGCCAATTTGCTGCTTCCCAGCAGGCGGATTCCCAGTTTCCTGGAGCGCTGATCCAACGCTCCCCAGCCAGCTGCGACCACGGCACAGGAGGTACTGGTTCCGTGTTGTGCAAATTCACCCCACCCACACCGGCTGGCTCCTTCAGTGCCATTTCCTTGTTGCTGGTACTGCTTTTTTCATCCTCTTTTGGTTTCTTCCTTGCCTCTCACCTCCTCTCCCTCCTTTCTCTCTCCGTGTGCTGTATTTTCTTCTTCTTGACACACTGTGAAGCCCTGCTCAGCTGCGAAACTGCTTCCCTGAGCTCTTTCCCCAGTTCATGTGGCCACGCTGGTGTGATCACTGGGGGCTCTTTTTTTATTTTTTCTTTTTCTTTTTTTGGTTTGTTTTCTGTTTCTTTTTTCCTTTTATTTTTCTTCATTTTTCAGTTTCTTGTTTCTTCTTACTTACCTTCTTTTACTGTCTCCTGAGTACCTGGCACTATGTATCATCTCCACCCCTTATAGCCGGTCTATACTGCACAGCTTGGGAGCTGCTCCATGGTCTGTGCAGCTGCGCCTGTGAGATCCCTGGGGGCATTTTTTTAAATCAATTTTTAATTAAAAATATTTTTTCATTAGTTTTTTTAAATTAATTACTTTATTTTTTCCTTTCTGTTTTTCTCCATTTCTCAGTTTCTTGTCTCTCCACTCCAAAGGCAAGCTCCCTCAGCACTTTTTTTTTGCTCCTGTCCCTCTCTCCTCTCTCTCTTCTTTTCCATTCTCAACCTAGATCCACACATCACAACCTCCCCATTCCCTTACCTCCTGCCTATCTACACCGTGTGCTGAATATTTCACTCCTGAGCAGCACAGGCACAACCTACTGGAACCTTCTCTGTGCTGACTACTAGTTCATCTTGTCAGCCCAAGTACGTGCCAAAAACAGCCCATCCCAGCCTGTCCCCGTCAGTTGGACCTGCCCTCCTGCCCTGCTACACCAGAGCTGGGTGACTGGCCCCGCCCACTGGACAAGGAGGTGACAAATATCATGTCCACAGATGAGCAAACAACAAAGAACACACAGCCCACCTGCTTGGACGTAACTAAACCAACAAAAAAGCAAGACAAAACGAACAAATGTACAATCAATAAACGAAGAAAATAACTACTGAATGTCCCAAAGACAGCAGACAATATCAAAACATTTAAAAAAATAGGACAGGATGGTTCCAATAGGCATCCAAAATAAAACACAAGATGACTTTCCAGTAGAAGAAAAGGCACTAGAACTACCTGATAGGGAATTCAAGTCTCTAATATTCAGAGCTATCCAAGAGTTGAAGCAAAAAGCAGACAAAAATGAGGGGAAAAAATAGACAAATTCATGGAAAAGGCAGACAAATTCATGGAAAATACAGACAAAAAAAGGAAAAATTCAGGAAAATAATACAGGAACAAAATGCTAAAATAAATTCACAACTAGAAATCATACAGAAACAACAATTAGAAATCCAAAAGATAAAAACAAGATTTCAGAAACCGTGTCATAGAAGAGTTGAGGAACAGGTTTGAAACAATGGAAGACAGGATCAGCAAAATTGAAGACAAACACTTGGATACAACTTTGAAGAAAAATCAGAAAAAAGAAAAATGAAGAAACACTGAGAATTATGTGGGATACAACCAAAAGCAAAAATGTGCCTGTGATCGAAGTTCCAGAACAGGGGGAGAAAACAGAAAACACAGAGAGGATCATTGAAGAATTGCTGACAGAAAACTTCCCTAATATCATGAAAGATGAAAAGCCGACCATCCAAGAAGCTCAACGAACCCCATATAGGATAGACCCCAAAAGAAAATCACCAAGGCATATCATAATCACACTCACTAAAACCAAAGACAAAGAAAGAATCCTGAGAACAGCTCGAGAAAAATGAAAAGTCAAATACAGAGGGGAAACAACAAGACTAAACTCTGAATACTTGGCAGAACCCTGTAGGCAAGAAGCCAATGGGATGACATATATAAAACCTTGAAAGAAAAAAATTGCTGGCCAAGAATAATATATCCTGCAAAACTCTCGTTCAAATATGATGGTGAAATTAAGACAGTTCCAGATGAACATAATTAAAGAAATATGTAAAAACCAAATCAAACTTACAAGAATTATTAAAGGGAGTCCTTCGGTTTGAGAACAAACAACATCAGACGACAGCCTGAATATAGGACACAAGATCACACCAGCCATATACCAACCTAGGAAATGAACTCTCAAGGACTGTTCAAAACCAAAAGATTTACAGCGGGGAACCAGATAGGTTAATCTGCAAATGACAACAACGTCAGAACAATAAAAGATGGAATAAATGGTGTAGGTATAGAACTTTCTAATGGAGAGAAAGGCAAAGCAATACCAAGTAATAATAGACTGGTTCAAACCTAGGAAGATAAGGGTAAATTTCAAGGGAAACACAAAGAAAGTTAACAAACCTACTCATCAAAATAAAGAAGAAAAACATAAAGTCTCATTAAAAACAAAATCTACAAAAACAAAAGAAATGAAAAAAAATCCATGAACAAAAGGAATTCAGCAAGGACAGTAAGAGGAACAAAGAAATCGTCAGCACCACAAAAAAAGCACTACAAAATAACAACAATAAACTCACACCTATCAATAATTACAGTGAATGTAAATGGCCTAAATGCACCC